CTCTCACTCTCTGTCACTGCCCCCCTCACTCTCACTCTCTGTCACTGCCCCCCTCACTCTCACTCTCTGTCACTGTTCCCCCCACTCTCAATCTCTCTCACTGTCCCTCTCTCACTCTCATGCTCTGTCACTGCCCCCCTCACTCTCACTCTCTGTCACTGTCCCTCTCACTCTGTGTTTCTCTATCTCTCTGTCTGTCTATCTCTCTCTCTGCCTCTAAATCTCTTCACCTCCCTCTCTCTCCCTCTCACTCTGTCTTCCTCTGTCTCTCTGTCTGTATATCTCTGTCTGTCTCTGTCTCTCTTTGTCACCCTCTCTCTCCCTCTCACTCTGTCTTTTTCTATCTCTGTCTGTCTCTCTCTATCTGTCTCTCTGTCTACCTATTTATCTCTCTGTCTGTCTCCCAATCTGTCACTGTCCCCCTCACACACTCTCTCTATCTGTCTCTCTGTCTACTTATCTCTCTGCCTGCCTGTCTCTCTCTCTGTCTACATATCAAACTGTCTCCCACTCTGTCAATGTCTCCCTCTCTCGTGTCTCTCTCTCTCTGTCTCACTCTGTCTGTCTGTTTCTCTGTCTCTCACTCTCTGTCACTGTCCCTCTCACTCTGTCTTTCTCTATCTGTCTGTCTGTCTCTCTCTCTGTCTCTGTCTCTGTCTCTCTTTGCCACCCAGGTTTCCTACATTTTCAGGACTTGGCTTTGATAGATTGGTCAGATAGAGAAGAAGAGTGAGAGAGAAACCAAGGGAGATAGAGAGAGGAACAAAACTAATGACAGAAAAGGAGAGATAACCAGACAAGGAGACAAACAGATAGAGTGAGAGAGAGAGAGAGAGAGAGAGGTAGGCTCAGACAGAGAGAGAGACATACAAAAAAAAAGTGTGTGAGAGAGAGAGTGACAGAGAGACAGACAGAGAGAGAGGGATACGAAAAGAGAACAGTGAATTATAGAACCGTACAATCCCTACCGTGTGGAAAGAGGCCATTCGGCCCATCGAGTCCTCACTGACCCTCCAAAGAGCATTCCACTCAGACTGAATACCCCCACCCTCTCCTCATAACCCCACATTTCCCATGGCCAATCCACCCTAACCTGCTCATCCCTGTACACTATGGGACAATTTCCCACGGCCAATCCACCCTAACCTGCTCATCCCTGGACACTACGGGACAATTTCCCACGGCCAACCCACCCTAACCTGCACATCCCTGGGCACTATGGGACAATTTAGCACTGCCAACCCACCCTAACCTGCACATCCCTGGGCACTATGGGACAATTTCCCACGGCCAACCCCACCCTAACCTGCACATCCCTGGACACTACGGGACAATTTCCCACGGCCAACCCCACCCTAACCTGCACATCCCTGGACACTATGGGACAATTTCCCACGGCCAACCCACCCTAACCTGCACATCCCTGGGCACTATGGGACAATTTCCCACGGTCAATCCACCCTAACCTGCACATCCCTGGACACT